CTTCAGTGATATGCCAGGAGATAAGCATTATAATATAAAAGCTGGTTATGAGTAACTTCAAAGGGTAAAACTCAAGCCTAAGAGGTGTGACAAAGTGTGGTGTAAATTAAATATACGTACTCCTCCAAAGTTTAGGATTTCATGCTCGCTATTATGAAGAGGTAGATTATAAATGAAGGAGAGAGTGAGCAGATTCATAACCATTAATATGAATTGTAATTTGTGTAGTAGAGAGGATGAAACAACCACTCATCTTTTCTCGCACTGCGATTTTATACAAAAACTCTACAAAGTAGTTGGAGATGTGTTTAATATTCAATTTCAAGCTAATTCTCTTGAAGAAGTGGAAATTGAATTATACAAAATCTAAAGCAAGAAAAGAGACAAGGGATTTGCTATATAGGCTACTTGTATATATGGTATTTGGAAGGCAAGAAATGAATATCTACATCAACATACATCGAAAAGTGAAGGCACCATAGACTATAAATCATATCCTATATTAAGTATTATCTGATTTGTAGAAAAATTTTGTAACTATTTTTGATATTTGAATTGGATGCTGTTGGAGTTGTTATGATTTTTGTTGAAATTTTGGAGAGTAACAAAAGTTATGTTTTAATGTTCAAAAAAAAAAAAACTTTTTTTCTTAAAAAATGAGAATTTTTAAAAGTTTTAAAGATTTTTCCATAAAACAAATTGAAAAGTTTTAATATTAAAAAAAAGTCAAAAATCATGAGTACGGTGAATTAAGTGTATAATTAGTACTTCTCTGTCACAAAATATTTGTCTATTTTGATTTTTTACAGTCAACCATTATTAATTTTTTACCTACAATTAAATAAAAATGCATTGTATAAAAACTAGATAAAATAGAATTTTGAAAACATTTTACAACATAAATCTAATGAAATTTATTTTGTATCAGTATCTAATATAAAATTTATTTAATTAATGACCAAAGTTTATCCATTTTAAACTTAAACACTCTAGGACAGAGTTAGCACCAAAAGATAAGGGGTATTTAATGTCAAAATACGGTGCGAGTTTATAACAAAATTAAAAATTATAGGATAAACTTACTTGATGAAGTGAACTTAATTATAAACATCAAAAATTGTTGTTAGGTACTCCCAGTTTTGTAATAAGAACTGTCGGGTACCACTTATTTAAAAATATATTCTCGGGTACCTCTAATTATTTTGAAAAGTTACCAAAAGGAGATTTTTTTATCCATCCTCGAATTGCCCCGTTTGCTTCGTTAGTTTTTCTTCATCATCATCTATATCATTATCTTCTTCTTCTCCTCATCCTTTGTCTTCTTGTTGTTCTTCTTTTTCTTCTTTAATTATCCTCCTCGGCCTCCCATCCAGACCCCACCCCCCCTTTTTACTTATCCTATTATTATTTTTAAAATTAATTAGGAGTTTTACCACTCTAATTCTAAAAAAATCATTAATGCCCCACCAAAAAATTTGTATACCCCAATAACCTTTCCCAATATCCACTTGGGTAAAAAAAGATTGAAATAGTTTAAGTCTTTAGTTGAAAATTAATTTTGATAATCAATTTTTGTATAATTTATAAATTTAAAATTGTTACCCCGTTATTTACTAAGCTATAAAATATATGGAGTACGTTATAGTTTAAAATAATAAGAAGAAATTTAACACTATTTTTATTATTAAAATACATAATGTTAAATTTTCATCTTATTATTGGAAATTATTACGTACTATCTTCATCTCAAAATGATTTAAACTTTTACTATTTGAGTCTCTCAATAAATTTTGTTTTCTCATATATTTTCATTAGTCATTTGACAACATAAGATATCTTTGTCTCATGTTTTTAATAGAACTCTTGATAATTTTTATAATATGTAATTTTTATTTCTTAATTTTTATACCAATTTATAGATAAAATATGAGATTTCACACATTGTTCTAATAGTGTAAATGAATTTGGGATGGAGTATAATTTATAACTAAATAAATTTTAGAGTAAACCATTTTAAATTGATAAATTAAACGTAACATTAATAAATCAACAAAAATAATTTTCAGTTAAAGATTTAAAATACTTTAGTCTCCTTTTATTCAAGTGGAGATTGGTAAAGGCTAATGGGGGTATACAAATTTTTTGGTGGAGGAATTAGTATTCGTTTAAAAGAATATAGTAGTAAAACTACTAATTAATTTTAATAATTATACTAACAACAACAAAAACAACAATTATAATAATAATAGCTATAATAATAATAATTTTGAATTGAATAATAATAATAATACTCTGTAGCTATAATAATAGTAATAATGATAATAATTATAGTAAAGAAAAAAGAAAACAAAAGGAAACAAATGGGTAGATCGGAAGGAGGAGAAGGACAATTGAAGAAGAAAAAGATGAAGCATAATGAAGAGGAAGATGAGAGCACTGGTAATGGTCATGAAGCCCCGGGGCTTCAAACCGGGGCTTCAAACTTTCTCTCTCTGCCACGTCAGCTTTAACTTACACCAAAAATTCACTGGAAATGGTTTTGAAGCCCCGGAGCTTCAAACTGGGGCTTCAAACCTTCATTTCTTACATTTTTAAATATACATCTTCTAAATTTAAATTTATAAATTTAAATTAATTTATTATTTTAATTAATCGCAATGACACTATTGCATAAAAAAATTAAATTCATTATAAAAAAATCTTACATTCATAAAAAAAACATTAAAAAAAATTACATTCATTAAAAAAAATTACATAAAAAAAACAACAGTACAAAGAAATCACTAATTATTCGAACGACTAAAGATATGCTCGATCAAATCCGCCGTTAGTGCATTGTGAATCTCTCGGCTTCGAATTTCTTGGCGGTTGCGTCGTTTCTTTTCTTCGGTGATTTCTTCGTACATAGGCACCTCCTCGTCCTGGTTGTATTGACAAATCGCAGACCCGTTATCCTCTATGATCATATTATGAAGAATAATACATGCGTACATGATATTCCTCATTTTTGTCTGAAAATAACATTTCGACGGACGATCTAGAATGTGCCACTTAGCCTTCAAGACCCCAAAGGCTCGTTCAATATCTTTTCTCGCCGCCTCTTGAGCTTTTTTGTAGGTTTGGCGTTTAAGACCCATCAGTTTGGAGAGAGATTTGACAATCGTGGAATAATCCGGATATATTCGATCAGCCAAATAATATCCGCGCTTGTAAAGCGTCCCTCTAAGCTCAAAAGAGGAGTCCGGTGCGGTCTCATTGACCCAATCGTCAAAAACAGGTGATTGATCGGGAACGTTGATGTCGTTGTTCGAGCCCGCGACACCGAAAAAAGCATGCCAAATCCACAAGTCATTCGAAGCAACAGCTTCGAGCATGATGGTAGGCTTGGGATGATCTCCCCGGGAGAATTGACCGTGCCACGCAGTGGGACAATTTTTCCATTCCCAATGCGTGCAATCAATATATACTCCCAAGCATGCAGACAAAGCCGTGTTTAGCGGCATGCCTCGCCTGCAACTGCTGGATGTCGCTCGCTGTAGGCTTGCGTAAATATCTTTTATGATAAATTTGAATAATAGCTTTTGAAAATTTATAAATATCTTTCGTCGAACATATCGGATGCCGCCCCGTACGCCAACTGACGGAGCGCGGCAGTGCACTTTTGGACGCTACTAAACCCGCGTCGGCCTCTCGCATCAAACCGTTGGTTGAACCAAGGAACCTTGCGTTCAACATCGGCGAGTATGCGTAAGAACAGAGGACGACTCATCCGAAAACGATTACTAAAATCCTCCGGTGTATAAACACACGAATTATTAAAGTAGTCGTTTAGAAGTGAATCATGGGCGGCCGCTCGATCCCGGTTTAGACGTTGGCGTCGGGTCCGTCGTCGGGAGGATTCAGCTTCTTCTTGGCCATCTTCCTACCATTGAATACAATTCGTCGCGAAACAACGAAAAAATAAAGCTCTTCTTTCATCGTCGGAAGATGAACCCATTTTTAAATTATATTTTATAAATATTTATAATAAATAATAAATATTTTTGAGAGAAAAGAGAGATTTGTGAGAGAGAGGTGTGAGAAAAATGTATGAGAAAGGGGGATTTTATAGGTTTTTTTTTTAAATTTAGATTTTTTTTTTATTTTGGGGGTGGGTAACGGCTATATAGCCGTTGGGAAGGGGGGAGCCGCTGGAAAAAAGCCATCACGCAACGTCAAAGTAATGACGCAAAACGTCTCACGCCCGTTTCACGCCGAGGGGGGCGGTGTTTAACGCTCCCCGGCGTTAAACGCCCCTTTCACGCCGGTCGGCGTGATGGGTAGTACCAGTGCTCTGAAGAACAATAAAAAGGTTTGACGCAATGCCTCTCCCTTCCCCAATGGTTCTTCTGTCCCCAACGGTCATAATTTGGACCGTTGGACATTATTTTTTTTAAAAATATTTTTTAATATTATAAACACCCCTTATTTTTAACACAACAAACACACACAACTTATTCTCATTATCTTCGTAATTGCTCTAAAGTATATTATATTTTTTTTAATTATCTCTACAAAATATTCGAAAAATAAGATCATCAAGTGACGATGAAAAGAGAGCTCTCATTTTTCGTTATCAATGCTGGCAAGAAGGCCAACGAGAAGATATTTTTAGTCGCTTGAATAATCACTAATGTCTTTGTAATGTAATGTATTTTTTATTTATATTGTTATTATTCAAATCTTATTATATTAATGCAATTTTTTATTTAATGAGTTTTTATCGTTTAAATTCTATTAAATATCGAAATTTTATTAATTTAGTATTAGAAGATAAGTATTCAAAAATATAAAAAAATAGAGATTTAAAACGATGGGCTTCAAACTATTTCAAATGAAATTTGGGTGTTAGTTAAAAGTGATGAAATTGATGTCTAAGTTAAGAATAATAAAAAATTTCCATTAGTTTTACCACTATATAGTACTCCGTATATACTTCTAACCCCAAAATGTTGGGGCAGTAGCAAGATTCTTTTTCCTTTTCCTAAATTTTCGTCCTAAATCAACCAACGATTTGCTCTCGGATTGTGTTCTTCCCAAAATCGATTTTCCCTACCCGCACGGCACATGCTCGATCAAATGCCTCACTCGACGTAGACTGTCCACTTCTAAATGCCGAGTGGGTATGCCTTTTGGGTGGCTGCGTTGTCTCTTTTTTCTTTCTTTCTTTCTGGTTTTGGTTTTAGTTTTCTGGAATTTCCCCGCTTGAGCTTGCTACTGATATAGGAGTATAGTGAGTAATTAGATAAAACTTGTTAGGGTTGTTAGTGTTGTTAAGGGCTGTTTTATGAAGTACTCTTTTATGTTCCTTTTCCTCCTTTTATTTATCATGCTTTCTTGAAAACTAAAATAAAAAAAAAACTTTCCCTTTCCAAGTTATACATATTCAAATAATAAGCTTATTTGCAGTTCAATTTAGTCAATAGTTATTTGATTTTCTATTGAATCATTAGCGGAAGATTCTTTATTGATATTCCCAGGAATGCTACCAAGTAGGAGGAACAATAGTATTCATTAGAGATCCCTTTACGAAGGCATTCCTATTGATATTCCCGGGGAACAGTCATGGAAGACTTTGATTCAGAATCAATGAAGTGCCGGAGAGAAGTAGAGAAGGCAATCACGGAGAAAGTGGGGCAGGTTGTCTGCTCTATCAAAGATGCGAGCCACGTGGACGAAGTTATTGTTGCTCTTCACTCTCTTGCTGTTCTGCTGTTCCCTCTTGATCCTCACTCGTTCTTAGGTCCTCTTAATGTTCAATTTCTAATATCAAGTCAACACATTTTACTCTAGTCTAACACTGATTTTTGAAATAATTATTTCAAGTTTGTGAATATCAGGTAGTATTGATGAGCGGTACCGAGAACAGGTATATCTCATCTTTCTGTATTTATTTACTTGTTTTCATTTTATTCAGATAATCACCCATTTTGATAAGCACCACTATCTGTTTTGTGGAAATCTGGTTATCTTCCACAAGGTACAAAGTGCTGTGGTGCCAGATTCTGACAAGAGAAGTCAATGGGAACATATTTTCTATACGGGTGCTGCATTTCGAATGCTGGCACGAGTTTTATTATATGGTAATGAAAATTCTTCTCTTCGTCACATGAAATTGCCATTTTTCACTTTCTTTTGCATTTGAAAATCTTTTGCCCTTTCCCATCGGAGCTAAGAGTCAATATTTACTACGTATGTTTTAGTTTCAGGCAGATAATGGTTAAAAATAAAAAAACACATTAGTCTTCCCTTAGTTCTTACTTTGTATGAGGTTTTGGAAAGAAAATGCAGCAATGTATCAAGGGTCTAACAGAAACAACCTCTCTGTTTTTTATAGGGGGTAAGGTTGCAAATCTTGAACCTAGACCCTAACTGAGTTGGGATGTTGTTATGTTGTTTTACATTTGATCATCTTTGAGATGTGGAGTGGCTTCTAAGTGCAACAGTAATCATATAGATGTGGCTTTGGATTGGCTAGCATGTTTCCCCACCTCTGCAAGGGTTCACATCTATGATGTGTTTTTTACAAACAGTCATCTCACTGAGGTCATCCAGGCATTAGTTCCTTGTTTACAAGGAAAAGATATTGGCACTCATGATCTGAATGCAGTGTGCTCAAATGTTGAAAGGTAATTACAAACACGTACGGCATCTTATTCTCTACATCCTTGATGGCTTCATTAGTAGTACTTTTCTCTTTGCAAATTGAATCCACACTGAATATGGTGAGAGTAAGCATGCTTTCATTGAATTGATGACTCTAGATGTCTCTATCAAGACCTTTTGAAAATAAGGAATATGTGGGTGTGGGCAACTGGGCATTTAAGCACAACTTCCCAAAGCATGCAACATCATGGTGCTTTGGCGTTATATATGCTCATTCTATAATGTTTATGTTACAATAATTGAAACTATACAATCTAATCCTCTTTTTTTGTATTCGTTTAATATTTTTTTACAATTATCTTGTTGTAGACTTTCTACGAGATGTAAGATGTGGTATGATCTTGATGGAGTGCCCTATTTGTAGTCATTTTACGTTATTAATATTTATAGTAGAGTGAGTTAGGGTAATTTGTTTATCGGGTCAAATGTTTTATTTTATACTAGTATATGTTAAGTTACTAAGTACTACGTAGTAAATAATGAGTAAAGGGGCGTAAGCCCTAAAGTGTAGGAGCAGACCAGTAGTTGCTTTCTAATGTGGTAGTGGGCCTAAATTCTAGGAGTAGTTACTAAATAATGTGGTAGTGGGCGGTGAGCCTCAATTCTAGGGATTGATAGTTATTTGGCTTCTATACATATCAAGGCTCATTATTTATAAAATCTATTAGTAATTCATTATTTATCATTGGAGATTCTCCTTGGCAGCTTTGCTTTATTACTTGTATGAGTATAAGCATCTTACTCATTTTTGATAAACAATTTCCTTCATCTTCCTCCGTCCACAAATAAACTTCCCGTTGCGCGTTACGATGTTTGACTGAAGTTATTTTCAAATCATTTTATATAAAAAATGGTGTAAAATTTAAAAATAAAAATTACATACGAAAAAACTATATCAAAAGATCTACAAAACTAGAGGTGACATGACTATATTATTTTATCAAATGGGTGACGAAAATAGGCCAACAAAGTGAATAAAGTTTGACCCCATGAATAATGAATGAGAAGTTTATTTGTGGACGGAGGGAGTATTATTTATGAATCTAGATCCTGATTTCATAATTTGATAAAGGCTTTCCTTCATTTATTCTCCCTGCCACTCTTGAGTTCTATCATTTGGTATCAGAGCCATATGATTTGCATAGGTTTTTTCCACACAAACCCTGGTCATCCCATCTTTCCGTACAATTTTATATCCAAGTGTTACTCCCCTTATGAAGTACACCAATTGCTTTACATTGTAGGATTTGTAGCTCGCCTTGATGTCATTAATTCCAAAAAGGTAGCATCAGAATTTCAAGGTACAACCCTTAATTTTGTGACACCTACAAACAAGTCACATCTAGTAACTTCCATCTATATGTGAAAGGAAAGAAGATTCAAAAGTAAAAGGGTAGGGTTACATTCGTTTGTAAGCCCAAACACCCTACCATTACAAGTTACAACCAACCGCTTCAATTCCGTTTATCTAACAAGTAATTTCCTGCATGATGACAAGGGAAATTCAATTGCAACTCTAAGTCGGTGTGTGATAGTGAATGCAATCGCGTTATCTTCACAGAGCCCCTTCACGATCTTGACTAGAAGATCTCTCATGAATGGCAATCGGCAACAACGATTCGAGTCGAGGCTGATCCAATATAAAGGTATGATTTATATTGGTTGCCACTGTCAAACCTCTCCATCCTCACCTATAGAATTGGATATAGAAAGAGCCACGCTTCTTATGCCAAGTGTTGATGAGAATGCCTCCAGCAGTTTGGGGTTACAAAAGTCTTATACACGTGTCAACACCATCCTGGGAAATTCTACAACATCACTGATAAAGCTTCATGAAACCTTGGATAGTGGCGTCATGCATCAGTTTATCCTTGAAGTTGTTATGTTTTATTTGGACCCTTTTGTTCGAAGCACCACTGCTGTAATTGGAGTTTTTCATTATATTGTTTTCCTACCACTTCTACCGAAGCCTCCACATATAAAAAGAAGCTATAGTCTAAGTTTTTAGTTTTGCATTGAGGACGAGGCAAATTTTGATGGAGGGAATAATGATAGAGTGCCCTAAATGCAGTCATTTAATGTTATTAATATTTATAGTAGAGTGAGTTAGGGTCATTTGTTTATCGGGTCAAATATTTTATTATATATATGTTAGTTACTGAGTAGTAACTAATGTGTAAATAGGCCTAAATTCTAGGAAAAGTTACTAAGCAATGTGGTAGTGAGCCTAAATTTTAGGGACTGGTAGGTATTTGGCTTCCATAAATATCGAGGCTCATTATTTGTAAAAGCCATCCAGAAAGTAATTCAATATTTATCATTGAGATTCTCCATTCTCCTTAGCTTTTTTACTTATATGAGTGTAAGATTCTTACTTCTGCTTTGATAAAGAATGGAGTATGAATTTAGATCTTTATTTCATAATTTGATAAAGACTTTCCTTCATTTATTCTCCCTGCCACTCATGAGTTCTATCAGAGCTCCACGTCAATTTTTGCTAGCCAGTTTTATATTTCATTCAAGAGTCATTGATGTTATATGTGGTGTACATAGGATTCATTTGCCTTCGTTAGATGTACTGTGTATATTAGTTAATGGTAAATCTTCAATCTTTCCTTCACAACATACATTGCAGATTACTATTACTTTGCTTGTTTGAGAATGATGGCGCACTCCGGCTGGTTATAGAATTTGACACTGACTGTCGAGCCAAAGGATCTACCCGTGAATCTGTCCAACAGAATATTGTTCGGGTGTCACAACTTATTACTTCTATTCCTGACAAAGTACGAGCAAGAGCACCTGCTTCGCTCTCATCACCGTATCCTTTTATTTTCTCTCATATATTGGAACCAAAATGTTTACACCTATGGTTTGTGCCCATATCTCACATTTATTTATTTTATTTGTTTTATTTATTTTCATGATTTCACCATTAACTAGTGGCTTAGTTAAGGCCATAGAATCCCTAAAAAAGTTTGTCCATTGGTTGTGTATTGGAGCATCGTCTTCCCAAGTTCTCCTATATTTATGATTAGTACACTCCGGTATTTATTAATCCCTCTGCCCCAATCATCTTCTCATGTGAAAATGACATGAAGATTAAGAATGGAAGGAGAATTATCTAAATGTCCATACCTACCTTTTTGGGTTTAATAAAAGTGAAGTAAAAGATATTATTCCTTCTGTCTCATAAAAAGCTTCCACATTTCCTTTTTGTTTGTCCAATAAAAATCTCTTTCCTTTTGAGTTAAGACTCGTGTGTTTCACACAATTTCTCTCCTCTACACAAAACTCAACCACACTTTCACCTTTATTAATAACCCGGTTCTGTCAATAATGGAACCTTATTTCAGAACGAAGGGAGTAATCAAATAAGATTAGGGTAAAAATATCTTTTAACTAAAAAAAGTAAAAAGTATATGTCAAAAGGAAATGGGAAGATTATTTTATGACTTCCAAGAAAGGAAAGTGGGAATATCATTTGGGATAGAGAAAATATTTTTGTGTGTTTTATTGTGTGTGTGTGACTGTGTGCATCTGATCAATTTTTTGCTTATGGTAAGGACTTAGGACCAAGGTTAGAAAGGTTGGCCAAAGATGTTTCTTGGGCATGGTTACAGTACATGTTTTTTTGTTTCCACTGGTAACATGCTATTTTATTTTCTTATTTTCTAATTGCTTCTTAGCCTGGTTTGTTTTCTTAACCATTGAATATCAGCTTATTTTTTAAGCATATTGTCTCCCAACTACTTGATGGAACAGAAGGATTGGACAGGAATTTAGATGAAAAATCTTATTTTGATAAAAACAAACCTGATTTTGGCATGTCATTTGTTGGGCAATCATTTAGTCGCATTTGTCGCCGAGGGTCCGCAGGTGATTTAATTACTGCATGCCAGCTATCTCCTTACACCGAAATGGGGAAACAAAACATAAGTGTATCAACAATCAATTTTTTTCCCCATTTTTGCAGATGTTCTGTTAAGTGAGTTAATTCCTAGAATCCTTAGATGTGTTCAGAGCCTTCTAGAACCAACAGCGGATATGACTATTAGAGAAGCAGTTGAGTCAAAACCTGGTCTTCGTTTTTTTCTAAATATAATGGAGGCAGTTCAAGATTCACACTCAGTAGAAAGGTTGTCTGAACAGCTTCTAAATCAACTAGCAGCTCAACGTGTTAGAGATGATGAGGCATATTGGATTTTATGGATCTTGTTTCATCGCATTTATAAGGAGAAGACATCCATTAGGTATGGCATTGCCTATTTTAATCCTTTTGCACTAAAATTTTGGTTGCTCTGTTGTGCTCTTCGTGTAGAGTATGAATCCAATTCTATCTTCTTCTTCTTCTTCTTCTTCGTCTTCTTCTTCTTCTTCTTCCTTCTGAAGCTCAATGATAATTGTATGCAGATCATTGCAGGAGAATAATGTGACATGTTTGACTATGGCTCTGTTTAGTGGCCATAATTGACAGAAGTAATTTTGACTTAATTATTTAGCTGAAGTAGATGTTACCAAATGCTATTCCTTTTGGAAAATTTGGATATTTAACATTTCAGCTAAATAACCATTACCTAACAGGCACTAGTTTCTTGATCATGCATCTCATGCACATTTTTGCTTCATTGCATACTTTTGTATTCAAGTCACGGACCAGTCATGTAAAATGATATGTGACTTTAGGAATTCTCATTCTCTTGAATAATTAGTTTCTCGTAGTGAAGATATGTTGAATACTTTATTATCAAGAAAGGTTATTGTGTTTTCTCATTTTCAGATCAATGTTTCGAGATAAATTTTTGCTCTGGAAAGTATTCCCTATATGTTGCTCAAGATGGATTCTCCACTTTGCAGTTTTTGAATGTGTGCCTAATATTTCTTTGGGTACAAAAGCCTGTAGTGCCCGTGCTCATTTGGATACCATCCAGCACCTTGCCGCGGCATGGTCTAAAAGAGAATTTGTTCAATCAGCCCCACTTGAGCAGCAAGCATGTATCCTTTTCTCTTTTTATTTTGACAAACACTTCTATTTTATGACCTTGCAAAAAAACTTCAACCTTCAAAATGCACTAAACTCATCCCTTCTATCTGTTTGGCACATGGTACTTAACTTATTATTAGATGTTACTTCTGCTTTAGGCATTTGCCTAGAGAATATGTCAAAGGAAGATCTCAATGCAACCAAGGATGCATTGCCGTCAATTCTTCAAGGAGTTAGCGGTATACTCTGAGCCAATTTTGTTTGTTTCTTTGTTCTTATCTTTAATGTTGCCTTCTATGTTCTGTTTTTTTTAAATTGATGTCAGGTAGGTTGCATAGTCCTGACCATTTGATACGAAAGATGGCTAGCAATGTTGCTTTAGCGTTTTCTATTGTGATCGACCCAAAAAATCCTCTGTATCTAGATGATAGCTGTCACAGTGAGACGATTGACTGGGAGTTTGGTTTAGGAAACCTTAAGAAGGGTTCTCCAGCTACACGTGGTTGCATAGATGAAGAAATGAGCATAAAAAATGATTCTTTATCTGCATCAGCAACAAAAGAATTTGATGAAAAAGGTGATGATGCTATGTCCAACAATTTTATGGATAATTGTAAGAGATTGTCTGTATGCAAATTGGTTGACCCAGATGAGATTGTTGACCCTGCATCACTAATTACTCAGCTGGCTCCTTATGAAGAGGATGATGACGTTGCAAATGAAGATTCTGAATCCTCTAGTGATTCATCTCTGCAGCCATATGATTTAACAGATGATGGTGCAGATTTGAAAAGATCATTCTCACAGTTGGTTGATGTGATTGGAGCACTAAGGAAGCCTGATGATGGCGAGGGTGTAAGTTTGATCTGAAGAGCATTCTCATTTATCTTTGTTGCTAGTAACACCCACACCCCTGGTCACAATAATTGTCTTGGACGAAATCGTGCAAATTAAGGACTTATTAAATGGAGAAAACATTTACTATGTTACTCCTTAGTAACATTAACATTTAATTATCATTAAAAATTAGTTTTGCACAGGGGGTCTGGGCCGATTCCGGAGGGATGTTAGGTGCCGGGATTCTTCGTGTTATATCAATGAACTGAATGGATATAGAGAGGGGACACTTGAAATATCAGGAGTTTTCCTTCTCAATCTCTTCTTACTTTTTGCTTGATCTATTATTATCAAAGTCAAGTTTCCCTTTATAGTAGGGGCTCCTAGCAACCCACTTCCTAGAACCGATAAGCTAATCAAGGTATTGAAATCAAAGCCCTCATACTATCATTTCTGATGTTATTTCCAAATCATATTTCACAGGTTGAACAGGCTCTTGATGTTGTTGAGAAGCTTGTGCGAGCCTTTCCTGATGAGCTTAAGTTTGTAGCTGGAGATCTGGCTAGAGCACTTGTATATGTCCGTTGTTCTGATTCCACTGTTGAGGGGGAGGAAGAATCAGCTGAAGATAAGAGAGAAAAAGCCTTAGTTGCTCTGATCGCCACATGTCCAAATGAATCTCTTAATGAGCTAAACAGACTGATATATTCTCCAAATCTAGATATAAGCCAGCGTATATTGATTCTTGATGTCATGACAGATGCTGCTCAAGAACTTGCAAATTCACGAACTTCAAAACCCAAACAACACTCTAGAATCCTTGTGTCATCCGTGTCAGACCAGCCATGGTTTGTGCCCAAGAACATTGGCCCACCTGGAGCAAGCTCCTGGAAGGAGATCTCAACTCCGGGAACTCCTTTGAATATGTCATATTCTTATGAGAGAGAGCTCCCCTCGAAACCAAGCCAGCTCAAGAGAGGGAAGACACGCCGGTGGAGCCTTCAATCATCACAAAAACAAGATAACCAGCTTGAGTGGTCCTTGAATAAGTTTCCCCAATATGCAGCTGCATTTATGCTACCAGTAATGCAGACGTTTGATAAGAAAAGACACGGTGTTGATTTGCTTGATAGAGAGTTCATTGTCTTGGGAAAGCTTATCTACATGCTTGGGATTTGTATAAAGTGTGCTGCTATGCATCCAGAAGCATTTGTTTTGGCATCTCCTCTATTGGATTTGCTGAGATCAAGGTTTTGATCATTATTATTCATTCTATTAAATTGATGGCTGGTTATCCCTGTCTACAAGCACCGGACAACCTTGTTATTGATTTCTGATAGAATATCATTTGTAGTGTTAATAAAAAATGAAGTGCCTGTGTTAGGGACCGTTTGGGACACAGAGCTGAAAAAGTATTTGAAAGTTGATATAAGTTGATAACAAGGGATGAAAGCTTTAATCGGTATTAGGTGTGCTTGGTAAAATTAGCAGTTGAATGAATTATTAATGTACAAAGACATAAAAGGGCTATCGTTTTTATTGATTAGAGAAAACAAATGACCTTATTGTAGTAAAGAAGAAGGTAATTAGTGGAAATAAATTTAGTATTACTCCGTAATAGATTATTTCTGAAAAAGTTGTGGGAGACACTTATGAATTAAGAGTGCATTATACAGCTTGAATTTAGCTATAAGCTTCAAAAAAAATTTACCTAACACACTTATCACTTCTTTATATCAGAGTTGCCACATTCCCCCCTTTTCTCCCTATTCTCGGTCTAGTCATTCGCAGTGTGATTACTTCTGTACTTGTTATTTGTACAGCAAGGTGTCTTTTCATAAGGAAGCATATGTTCGGAGATCTGTGCTTTTTGCAGCATCATGCATATTGGTTTCTCTTCATCCATCCTTCATAAAATCCGCCTTACTTGAAGGTAGTGTTGACATTGTGAATGGGCTCGAATGGGTACGCACATGGGCCCTAAGTGTAGCTGATTCAGACACAGATAGGGAGTGCTACACGGTATGTCAGAACTTTTTATTATTACTAGATTTTGTGTTCTGGATTTGTCTTTTTCATCTTCCCATGCGTCATTTAAGTTTTCACAACAAATGACATTCTAATATTGTCTTACCATGCTGTGTTATGTGAGGTTCATCAAAGTGATGCACTTACCTATATAATTATATAGATTTTTTACATCTTAAACCAAATACTCAAAAAATGAGGTGACATATTCAATGTAAAATGAGTCAGAGACACAAAACTTTATCATGGATTAACATAAAACAATTCTAGAACTTCTTTCCACTAAAAAACATTCAACCTTTCCTTGTCCAACACAACGAGTATGAGACAATTCCACCTTTCCCACTGAACTTCAAATCCAAGTGTCCTTACTCCGTATTTTTTTCAAGTCTATACAACTCCTCAACACATCTAACCCTTACATTTTGGGTGTGGACTTTCTTCTCTTGAGGATAGAAAATATGGAAAGAAAATAAATTTATGTTCCTTGTCATTTCTTGTTATTGGATTCAAGTAAAATATGTAGGGAGATGAAAGAAAGAAAATCATAATTATTTGAATGAGTTACTTTTGGAGGGAAAGACGAGACACTAATATATCATATTATGTTAAATTAGTATACTCTGTGCTTGTTATGAGAAGTAAACTTTTCAACATAAATTTCACATTTTAACATTCTCTCTGAGTTGGAGAGGTTCAGGCCTATTCTATTTGTCTGATCTGATCAAATTGGTTCTGATCTGAATTTATTAAGGATTTAAGGTCTGATCTCATTCTAGTTAAAGTTAAAAAATGTTTGTGATCTAGTTTGATCTGATTGGTTCTAATAAGAATAAGTAATAAGAATAAATTGAAGAAACATGCTTGAAACGAGACGTGGGAAATAACTTTTACTCCGTATTTTCTATTCCTTTATTTTCTCTTCCTTGCCATTACCAAACACAAGGAAAAGTTAAAATACCAATTGCTTTTATTTTACCAGTATATTTTCTCTTCCCATGCTACCGACTTATGAATCTGATGTGCATATTCAAAACCCCCCAAGAATAGAGGAATTCACAGATCTTATCAATTCTTGAATTTGTGAGCATTGCATACTCCCACACACCATGGGATTTTAGACTTTGAGTGATTCTAGGATTTGGATGAACTACCACCATTTCAAATGTGACTTTATCTAATCCCAGTTATTCAATTCAATTTTTTGTAGTTCAATTACAACTACAAAACAATGCATAAAAGGTGACAAAAAAGTGTCACTCATTAGGGTAGGCATGGGCCGGGTCGAGTCGATTTTCATAGGACCCTTGTTTTAAACTATTCAGTTCCACAGGTTCATGAACTTCTTTTATTTTATTAAATCACAGTTTTAAATACTTCACAAACAAGTTAACAACTTATGTGAAAATAGAATACTATGGATTGTGAAACCAATCCACAGTTTGCATAAACAAAATAATGCTTTTGGAAAACAAATCACAATACTCATCCAAAAACAAATTTTTGCCAATTAAATCTTCAAAACAAACAAGAAACAATCGTGTTGACTTATATATATATATATATATATATATATATATATATATATATATATAGATTTTGGTTCAAATGAGAATGCGATCTTATGAAAGAAATAAGAATGAATCTGGTGCTTTAGATTGTGAGATCTAAGGGTCGGGATTGCATCAAAATTAGGTGCACCAAGATGGTTTGAAAATGCATCATTTCGAAATGCACCAAAATCCTTGAAAAATGCACTATCTCAAAATCTGAGTGCAGGATGCAATCTGAGCCGTACGATGCATCCAATCCAAAGGCTAGATTTTATTCTTATTTCTTTCACTAAGGTGCATTCTCACTTGAACCGGCCCCTATATATATATATATATATATATATATATATGCAACACGGTGCATGACTCGAGTACAATGTTGAATGAACCAAGACCGTTGCATCGGTGCTCGGGTGTAGTGAAAAATAAGAAACGGTTCCCACGTTTTTGTGAACGGACGTGGGTAAATAAGCTAGTTCGCAAAGGTATAGGTACAGTTGAAGATAAGCTGCGGTTTGGGACATGGAACATTGGCACACTGACAGGCAAGTTTATGGAGTTGGTGGATGCTATGATACAGAAAAGGATTAATATTATGTGCTAGCAGGAAACAAAGTGGGTGGGAGTAAAGGCTAAGGAGTTGGACATTTCAGGCTTTAAGCTATGCTACACAGGAAAGGTGAAGAGCAAAAATGGAGTTGGTATTATTGTAGATAAACAATGGAAGAAGGATGTGGTCAATGTTCAGAGGGTAGGAGATCGGATTATTGCATTGAAGCTACTAGTAATGGGGCAGGCTCTTTATGTGGTTAGTGCCTACGCACCACAAGTCAGTTCAGATGAACACCACAAGATAAGGTTTGGGAAGACCTCGAAGGTGTAATACAATGTATACCATTAGGAGAAAAGGTTTTCTTGGGAGGAGATTTAAATGGACACGTGGACAAATCCATGGAGGGCATGGCTTTGGAATAACGAATGCAGAATGTAAAAGCATCTTAGACTTCTCTTCGACCTTCCACCTTTTTATTTCAAACACTTGTTTTCAGGAGCTAGACGAGCATCTTATATCTTATTAGATAAGGAGGACATGCTCTCAAATTGATATCTTTTTGCTAAGGAAATTAGATTGAAAATTTTGTACTAATAGCAAAATTATTCTCGGAGAGAGTTTGACCACTCAACATAGACTCATAGAGTACTCGTTATGGATTTTGGTATCCAACGAAACGTAAGGAGAAGTCGCCAAGAAAGGAACCTGAGGACTAGATGGTGGCAGATGAAAGGTTATAAGCAAACGGATTTCCAACGTTGTTTTGTTAAAGAAGCAAAATTTGGATGGACATGGAAGTGCAGAAGAGTTATAATGTGATATGGCATATACTATAGAAAGGTGGCAAAACCCTTGGAGAAACTAAAGGCACGAACGTAAGAGGCAAAGAATCATGGTGGTGGGACACTAGTGTGCAAGAGAAGGTAAAGGTTAAGTGGGAACATTTCAAGGAAAGGTCTTTATGTCGTAATGTAGAAAGTTGGGAAAGGTATAAGACAACTAAGAAGGAGACAAAAGCGGCTGTAAATGCAGAAAAGATGAGAGCTGAAGGGTTTTACCAGTCGTTGGGTACGAAAGAAGGGAAAATATGTACTTACAAGATTGCAAAGGGTCAAGAAAGAAGGATGAGGGATTTGGACCAAGTAAAGTACATTAAAGATAAGAATGATGAAGTTTTGGTCTCTGAAGAAAGCATAAACGAGCAGTGGAAGAGCTACTTCATTGATTTCTTTAATGAGAGGCATGCGAATCTCTCATGCTTCGATTGGCTACACACGAGGGAGGAGGACCAAAAATTGGAGAATTCAAGAAATTGAAGTTAAGGAGGCTCTAGAACGGATGAAGAATATTAAAGCAGTGGGCCGAGACAACATCCCGATTGAAGTTTGGAAATGTTTAGGAGGAAAAGGTATTTGGTGGCTTACTAAGCTTTTTAATGAGATTATAAGATCTAAGGAGATGCCTAACGAATGGAGGAAGCTTATTTTGGTCCCTATTTACAAAAATAAGAGGGATATTTAGAGTTGTGGAAATTATAGTGGGATCAAGCTCATGAGTCATACGATGAAGTTGTGGAAAAGAGTGGTTGAACGGATGTTGAGACAAGAGACTTCGGTGTCAGAGAATCAATATGGTATTATGCTAGGAAGATCAACAACAGAGGCTATATACTTGGTGAGGAGAATGATGGCGAGGTACCGAAGTGAGAACAAAGATTTACACATGACTTTTATTGATTTGGAAAAGGCATATGACAGGGTACCAAGAAAGGTTTTGTGGATGATTTTAGAGAAAAAAGAGTAAGGATTGCGTATCTTCGTGCGATTAAGGACATGTACAATGGTGCTACAACGAACGCAAGAAGTCAAAGCAGGGTAACAGGAGAATTTCTCATCGGTGTAAGATTACACTAAGGGTCATCGTTAGGTCCATATCTTTTTATACTAGTATTAGACGTTTTTACAAAGCATATCCAAGAACCCGTACCATGGTGCATGTTTTTTGCCGATGACATCATCCTTATGGGCAAATCACGGGAAGATTTGAATGATAAGTTGGATTCGTGGAGACACTTTGGAGTTGCATGGCTTGCATATAAGTCGCACTAAAATAGAGTATATAGAGTGCAAGTTTGGCAACATAAGGAGAAATAGTAACATCAATGTGAAAGTCGGAGAAAATAGTATACAAGTAAAGAAATTTAAATATCTTGGGTGTATCATTCAAGAAAATGGAGAAATAGAAGATGATGTTAACCACATGATCCAAGCCGGTTGGTCAAAATGGAGGAGTGTTTCGGGCTTTATATGTGACAAAAAAGTACCTTTAAAACTAAAGGGGAAATTTTATCATACCGCGATTAGACCAGCTACTCTGTATGGAACAGAGTGCTTGGCAGCAAAGGGTGAACATGAACGGTCATATGGATAGAATAAGGAATGAAGATATGAGAGCTAAAGTAGGACATGAACGGTCATACGTGTATGGCTTTGTTGTAGTATTGGTTTAATCCAATATTGAATATACCATATAAAATCTATTTATGAATATAATTGATGGAAGTTAATCCTTAATTTCATCAAATGACTAAGAATACAATATTGAGTAGACTATAATCTATTTATTGTAGTTATAATTACATTTAGTTCTAGGAAATGGGCCGGTTTGGGTCTAATTGTTACTCAATATTTGGACATGCCTGACTTGTTTTGCTCAAGGACCCGCCCCATTTTCAATGGTAACATTTTGGACAAGCCTCTAACTCGCCTCGAACTTTGTGGTTTGGTTCTTACCCGGTGATTTCAAGACCCGTTTGCCACCCCATAGTCACTCTGGTCCATATTAATGAGAGCTTGAAGTTTCATACTTCCATCATCATCATCAGTGATCAGTATAAAGAATGGGGACTTGAAAGCAAAGTGGCTTTTCATTCTCATACAGTAGAAATAATTACAGAAAGGAGGAATAGTCCATTACACTTAAAGAAAGGCCATCATCTGTTGTCATTGTCCAACATAAATTTTTAAAAAAATGGTGGTCTATGTAGACTTTTCTTCTGGTCCCGAGAACATTTTCCTAACGTTGCTCTCTCTGGGATTGAAGTTGGCTGTTTTGGGCTGTACTCTATTGTACACCCTTGTTTCCTTAGGATCTTCCTATCCAAAAGAAATTGTCTTGAAGACAATAAATGGATGAAGTTAGGTGGGTCATATGCATATAGGGCCATTACTAGTCTCAAGGCATGCATGCCATAGAATGTGAAGAAAACCGAGATGCTCTGACCAATATAACACAATCAAAATGCAAGTCAAATATTTTGTGTTCATTGCATGTGAGGTTGTGGACTAAATAAATGTAGTACTACTTGGCTAGGTGCCTCACACATGGGACTTGTCCTCTCTCTGTGTGGGGGCCGGTTGCCAAAATGCTGGTTTCCTTCACACCCTTGACTTATCAGAGTATTGAAAGGTTAGCATTTGGAGCATTAAATGTGCCCCCTTGATGACAGCTTGGGCATGCAGGGAGACAACATATGTCCTTTTAGATTGGTTGATGGTCAAAATAGGGAGGACTGGAGGTGGCAGGGGTGTGGCCATTTTCCAATTGAATCGTGAACCCGTTCTATGGACAGTTCGTATTATCATGTAAAATGTGTGAACTTTTCGTACCCGTTCGATGAAATGCGTTTTCCCCATTTTAGGCATTTTTTCTAGCAATCCCTAATCTATTTAAATGAGTTGAATCTATTGATATTGGAAAAAAAGAACAGCGGAATTGCCCCACATTGATTTAAATGTGTGATATTAACTCTTTCCCCTCTTTTTTTCTTTTCCCTTTTTGCCCCCTTAATTGTTTGGGTATTTTTTTTAAATACCGCAGCTGGCATTGAGCTGCATCCAACTCCATAGTGAAATGGCATTGCAAGTTTCCCGAGCTGTTGATTTGGCGGAGGAGAGTAACAGCGTTTTACCGTCCAATTTTCTGAGGAGCGGCGCTATTAAATTCTACTGATTTGTGAGTTTGAAGAATGCTTTGAGAGCTTTGGTTGGGATTTCATTATTTATTAGGGCATTATTCGAAATGGAATGCACTTAGGATTAGTGTGTTTATACCTTAATAATTAGCGCTTTAATTTGCTACCTAATTTATTGTTAATTGTTAGAGATTTGCCTGGCTAGTTTTTGATCAATGCACTGCAAAATTACTAACGTTTGTTGTCCAAATATACGAGTAGAATATTTCAGCATTGTGTTGTATAGTGAAATCACTACATACTATTTTAGCAATATATCAAAAATAAAATCATAATGTATACAAGATACAACATATTATTTCCTTTAATACCCCTATCAAGTGAGAGCATGTATCCCACAAGCAAAAGCGAAGTAGGAACATGTTCGGTGTGAATCACGCTGTATATGATCTCATTACTGATAAAATGACAATCAATCTCGATGTACTTTGTTCTATCACGAAAGATTGGATTGGTATTTGGGGCTATATATTCTACTTCGACAAAAGAATGAGCCATGTGCGTTCATTTCTGTCTTCCAAGAGACGGGAGAATCCTCAAGCTATACAAACTACCTAGTCAAGGATCTTCGAGTCATGGGACAAGCCATCGAATTTGAATAAAATATAAAATTGTTTTTTTGAGAAGAGAAGAATGTCACGACCCAAACGCCCTTTTAAAAACCTTACCACGCTTAGAGTTGGTTTCCAACAATCGTCTCGGACCTTATAAAAATTATAAGGACCATCAAAGGAAACTAAAAATAAAACACGAGAATATGGATTCCAAGATTTAATGCATAATCCTTCTTCAAGAGCTCCAAAGGCCAATGCCTCATCCTCGTTACCCCTTAAACGCCCAGCAAGCCACTATCTGTCTAAGGAATGACATTGACTCGATTTGGTTTGAGCCTTTGGAAAATTTTGGAATTATTTAGACAATAGGTGAGAGATGGAATTGTAACGCCCAATAAGCCAGTTTTACAATTTTCTAGAATGTTGTGAAATTTTTTAGAGAAGTGTAGAGTTCTCTAAAAATCTCTAAAATCATGTAGAAAATTATATAAATTTTTAAATTTTAGAGTTTTCTAGAGAAATGTTGAAGTCTCTGAAATTATGTGGAAAATAGTAGAATCCTCTATGATATTCTAGAACTATCTTGAGATCTCTAGATTCTTTTAGAATATTATGAAAGTTTGTGAGTATGTGTGGAGTAGTGTAAAGAAACTTCACATCGGTGATGAGTATAAATAGCGTTGTGGATGTCTCATTTGGTAACTCAAGAACCAAGAAGGCTTCTTGGGATGCTTGTGAGTGAAGTGAGAAGAGTTGATTCCCACACAAAGTATGAAGTGGGCGGCTACATATATTCATGCAATTGTAATATCCCTTGTATATTTCTCTATAATTGTTTTATGTAGTCGTGTATTTGTATTATTGAGTATGTGCGCTATGCATTCAAGAGTTTGGTTATATGAATCGAGAAAAAAAAGTCGAGATATATATTAATTCTCCTATAATTATGAATTTGTTTTGAAGAAAAGAGAGTAGGGGTGGGCACAGGTCATGTTTAGGTCCGACCCAACCTAGATTGGGCAGCCCGGTAGGGTTGCGGGGTATTTGATCTCTTTTTTGTGATCCAAATCCATAGAAGAGAGTACATTTTAAAACAACATGAAAAAGTGTTAGAGTATATATATTTGTACTATCCGTATATTAATCGTATATTGGGTCATTAGTGTTGGGCCGGTTAGCTTATTCCCTTGACGTTTTTAGTTAAAACACTTTTTAGTTAAACTACTTTTTTTGTCTCAACGTATTTATTTAGATTGACTTTTTCAAGTCAAAGAGGATGAACTTCCACTTCAATTAAATGACAATTGTAAATTAGTATAAAATGATTTGATTAGATTTATCTTGTTAAAAAATTTTAGAATTTTATTTCATTGTATTAATATGTAATGTAAATTGAAAGCAAATGAAACTCAAAATTTATCAAGTTTATTTTGAAAAAATCAAGTTCAACAAATACACTAATTAGAAGGGACATATTTGATCTTTTTTTGGGTAAAGTAACAATTATACTCCGTAGTCAATTCGGTCACATCATGCGCAAGTGCAACGACAACAATATTTCAAACCAAATTTCCTGGCCCCAAATGACGTTCCAAAAGATTTTTCACTTCTTCTTTTTGGATCTTACTCGTAATGATTTCTTATTCATTTTAGTTGAGCATAAAATTTAAATAATGTTAATAATTAAACTGTGTGCAGTGTGTTTATAATTTGATTACACTAAAAAATACTCTGTAATTGATTTGAAGAAATAAGAAATAATGATAGAAGAGGAAAATTGATTTTTATAATGAAAAAAACAAAAATAGAAAGTGTATGACTCTTTCAGTCCCTGAGTGTTTGTCATGTTTTGATATTTTACACTTAATTCTTTAGTCGCGGAGATTTTTCATGACATTTTGCAATTAATTAGAATTAATATTTGACTTATATATAATTAAATAAAATTACTCCGTACATAATATATTAATTAGATAAAATAATTCTTTAAAATTATGGTACAAGATAAACCTAATATACTTTTGTACTAATGTCTAACAAGGTGTTGCAAAATCTACTCATTTTATGATAAATAGATAATCTTGTCCTTAAAATACAAAAGATAAAATCTAGGTGTAAGACCACTTTTAAGGATAAAATTATCCATTTAACATAAAAGAGGTGGATTTAGTCTAAACTAGTATTTAACCCGTGCCACGCACGGGGTCGATTCCATGTTATTTTTAACTCTGTTAAATGTTTGTTTTAAGTATATAATTAAAAAATGAAGTTAAATATAATATACAATGTTAGAATTTTAATGAATGATACAACACAAACAGAGTATGATAACTAAATTTAATGCGATATTAAATTGGAAACGAACGTATAAATGTATGAATTAAATCCAAATGTTTTGAAGAACTTCTGGGTAAACCACATTTTTTTTGCAATTGTAAGTGTTATCGTTGTCATTTAAAACTAACGCTTTCAATACTTTCTTAGTTTTCACTCGTGAAACTGCAACATAAATTTGACCGTGAGTAAATACCGATTTGGTCAAGAATAATCCAACAAATGACAATGTTTGGCCTTGACTCTTTTGGATTGTCATGCCAAAACATAAAGATATTAGAAATTGTCTTCTTTGAAACTTAAACGGCACTCCAGGATCTGATGGTACCAAATTTATTCTTGGTGTGTAAACTTTCTTACGGGCATTGTTTTTTGATACAACAATTGCACCAATAACGTTTCTTCGCAACTCTTCAACTGTTAATCTTGTACATTACACAACCCATATATTTGATCAATGTTTCTTAATAACATATTTGGTACTCTTTTCTTCAAAACAATTTTGTGGTTTGGAACCCCAAAACACTTGATATCGTTCAAAATCTCAATTGTTATCCAATCACCATCTATGCCTATATCTGAATCTGCTTGACATGAAGTATTAGAGCTCATATACTCCTTTTCATCTCCAGGAATTAGAGACAAAACAAAATCATTGATCATTTCAACAACTTCAAACGTGCGTGCTAATAAAGCTCTATCTATAAAAAAGTATAATCTTTCATATTTTCCAATAAGTCTGGATACGTGAATTCTACTATACTCTGAAGTGGAGAGTATGTATAAGTGATTGATCGATTGATATCAACCATTGCAAATTAACAACAGAAGAGAAGAAAAAAGGAACAAAAAATATGAAACCATATATGAAAGGAATTCCATTGTACGGAGTATCTAATCACACATAAACTAAACATGAAACAAACTCTGTAAACAAAAGTACTTTGTTTATCCAAGATTGATCTTTCGAAGTAAATTTGCTTCTGTTGATGAAAGTTGTTCAACCATAACCCATTCACAATTATTATGTTAGCAGGAGAAATCTGAGCAGGGTACATGGCATTTGCCCGCTGCAAACTAATGAATTGTTGCCAAGTTGCATTAGGACGACCATTTCTTTTTGTATTAAAAAACAGCTATTTTTTGCACTATACACATTGAATTGTTTCTCCTTTTCTTTCCAAAGAGAGGGGCTTTCCTTGAATGAGAACTCAAATCAAGACCAAATGGAATAGCAGCACCCATAGACCTATTACCAATTTGATACACATTACAACTCAACAAATCATTATGGCAGAAAATGTTTTTCAAAGTATTCTTTACTTAAGATAGTTAAAAAGCCTAAAATGAAATTTTTCAGCCTATGACAACATGTAAAGGGAGCATATATTGAACATGAAATTGCTAAGAAAATAATATCGTTTAATTAGTAGTACAGATGAAGTACCTCTTTATATAATGTCTAAATGAAACATTTCTGAAAAAATTCAGCAGAGAAAATACTCTTTTCATATCTTCTGGTTCTTAATCTGAAACTTCAAATAAGAAAAATCCGTAAAACAAACAGTAACAATAGCCATTACTGTTAATTAAATATTTTAAAATTCAAACCAAACACCGAGTGATCATTTAGATTGAAACGCTGTTTCTATGAGAATGTAGTGTTTGTAGATTCATTCCTGTGTGGCACATCAAGTTGGTCTTAAAATCATTAAAGAAAAACTTCATAAAATAAATAGTGTAAATAAGAATTAGATTATAGCATAAATATAAACTCAACTGTCCAAACAGCGCAAATCATCAACAAATCTGAGAGATGAGAAAAGCACTGGAAAGTTCAGCTGCCCAAATAGCACAAAGTCTTCGAGACAATGAAATTTGCTGCAAATGCAATTCTAGAATATGAACATGCAGTCCATCTATGCATATTCAAATGTCTCAGTAGATAGCCAATTCTCATATAAAATGACTATTAGTATATAAGGAGTAGTGTTTGAATTGATCCGGCGGGAATAACATGCTTAAAATTCTTTTCCTTTTACAAATTAGTAGATAATCTTATTTTTTCCTAAACACTTCTATGGACTTCATAAAAGCAATCCCTTCCTGCACCAGGTCAGAGCAAAGGGGAGCAGTCATTTACTCATCTTCGGTAGAATTCTCATTGGGTGACCCGCTAAATTCTAAATGAGATTATTATATGGAAGCTACCAACAACATGAATGCTCTATAATAATAATAATAATAATTTTAATAATAATAATAATAATGATAATAATAATAATAATAATAATAATAACAATAATAATAAATATAAGAACAACAATTGGTCTAGCTGATTGAAAACGAAAATGCCTAAAATGGAGTAATTTCTCATGTGGTATCTGCTACTCAACATAAAGAATGGAAGAATAAAAAAATAGAAACTGGAGACTAATGGCTTATGCTAAAACATTTTAATTGTGTACCTTTAAAAGTGTGAAGTTGAGAGGTGTTGGTGGGATAGGGTGTTGATGCATGAAAAATGAAACTAATTATTCATGCATAAAAAACATCATACTAATTAAGTAAACCCACCTATGAGACTTGAAGAAAACTTATGCCAATTCTACGTAAAATATCGCATCTCATTATCATCAGCCGTGAGAAGATTATTACAAATACGGAGCATTGCCATGGAGAAAGAAAGTAAAACTCAAGTGTCAAACAATGACCTATAATCATCATCCATGAGAAGATAAAAGTCATATTAGAAGTTTTATCTCAATAAGATGTACTATGTGTTAAAAATTAATTAAAAAAATTGAGCACTTGATCATACCAAAAGGACTTGCTTACGATTTACTTTTTTCACTCTCTAAGTCCTCTATGTGTTGGAACATATGATATACGATACTTTCATTTCTCTGGAAATCTAAGAAGAAAGATAATCAATTCAAGCTCGCTCTCGTGTCCATGAAATCCCCCAATCTCCACTTCTTTCAGATGAATATGATCATAAGTTGAGGTAAATGCTAGCCTCGGTACTCCTATGTCTACAATACCTTTTGTCTGCAGCAATACACAACATACATAGTGCGCATTAGATCAGAGAAGTGAATCTCCATCAAAGATCTTATCCCCTCCACATTGACAGATTGTTGCTTCCATATATCACATTACTCGCAAAGGCAGGGACAGTGTCAAGTAAATAAACTACTGTACATACAGGACACAGTCGCACAAATATGATTCATGACTTCACATACACACACATTCACACACACAAATAATAAGTTCGGTCTGTTACAAAGAAAAAACTAAATAGCAATAGAATAATAACTCAACTCACCACCAAACGAAATTTGCGTAGAAATGGTGAGCAGCTAATAACACAAGCAATTTGTTGAGCACCATATAGCCATCTAAAGTCCATGAGTACATATACATCCTTAAGATTGTTGAACGCACGCCCTCCTGACGGGGTATAATATATCTGGAAAATCATCATCAGTAGCATAGTGGGGGAGGGGAAAACGATATGAAAGCAAAAAAAGGACATGGCAAAAGAAACACACTACACACACACACGCACACATACCTCACTGACCCATGATTCAATATATAAGGATTCAAGTTCAGGCATGTCCTTGGCAACCCGACGAATCATATAAGACAGATGACCAGAACATTTTAATCCAACAAAAAATGTCTCAGCTTCGGAACATGGGAAAGACTAATTTCTTCCAGCTTTTGAGAGGAAATTATTTCCAAGCTAGTCAAATTTCCAGCACAAAGCTCTAGCTTCTTTACCCCGATACAACTTGTGATTGTCAAAGACTTCCACTCATGTTCTGGTCCGCCAATATATAACTTAGATGGAAGTCTACAATATTTCAACATTAAAGACTCAAGCTTTGGACAGGCTGAGAAGATGCTGTACACTTCACCATTAACTAATGACACTGCGTCCAACCTAAGCAGCGAAAGGGATTTCAGTTGTCATTTACTTTTTTAAAACATTACAAACAACCATCACACTCCTTATATGAATAAAGAGTTGAACATATATAAAGACGGACTTAAATCTATTTACCCAATTGAAACTAACATTAATGAAATTCATTTTGTATTGATAGTCAAAATTACAAAAGATAAAATAAATAATGAACACATGAAGATACCTAAAGTTACTGCCTGTGTTCTTGTGCTTTGTCAACCTCTCCCAGGAACCATGCCCAATATCTGAATCCATATCTGTTTGGATGGAAGAAAAATCAAAACAATCTCAGATCAAGTACAACATCAACAAAAGTCAGCAACAATATCAAAGTATGAAATCTCATATCAATACAAATTTGTGAGTTGTGTGTTCTATTAAATAAATGCTAAAGCAAGTAACACACAACCATGTATAAACAGGCAACAAGTGAAAAGATATTATTATAGTGGAGAATATGTAAGTGTGTAAACAGGCAGAATGTATATATGGGTAGAAACCCTCGAGAAAAAAAACGGTCTTCGACATGTATGGAACAAAAAATAGGTTTGAAACCCTCAAGAAAAAATGCATAAGGGATGTGGTGGGTTTTCTTGAGAAGAATGTATATATAGGTAGAATATTACTCATAAAAAAAGTAATTGGTGAAATAAATAATTTAATTACACATAATACGATTCTAAATTAGGTATGTAATTTTGGGGCGATTCATAATCGTTCAATTTACCGAAAAAAATTGGGGAAATCGAGTGTATATAATCTGAAATAGGTAAGGATTTTAAGAGCCTCAAATCCACGAATTCACGAAGTTATGAATTGAATGAGATTTGAATCTGGATTTTGGAAACAAACCTGATTATCGAATTGACACAAAATAAATCGAATTTGCCGATGTAGATCTCATAATTGACGTGAAGAATCCGCGAAGAATCAGTGGATGTTGACTTTCCTTCATTAGGTGCAAATTTCCTTCAGTGAAGATGTACAGTACGGTGCTTTTTTGGAGAAGGAGAAGTGTTGGCCGATGGAAGAGATCAGTGCTTCGCACATAGGGAGGCTAAGAATCGGCTACTGGAGCGAGGAATCAGGATCATATTCGTTTCCTTTCAGCGTGAAGATTTGCAGCAGATTTCTTTCCTTCCGCGCGAAGAACTTGGGCGAGAGAAAGGAACGGGTACTGGAAGGGAACTTCGCCTATAATTGGACGCGTGTAATCCGACGTGTCATCAAGTTAGGAGTCTAAATTTGCCACGTGTCAAAATTCTAGACTATCAACTCTCAAATATTATATTAAAGGATGGGAGTGAATATAGCTATACTCTGATATCAATTTTCTTTAATTTATGATAAAAGTTTGTACATTTTGAATGCAATTAACCAAAATATGACCTTTAGTTTATGGCAGAGAAGACTAAAATAGAGTAAATATAGGCAATTAACCAAATATGACCTTTATAGTTTAAAAGAAACCACCCTAAATAGGAGTAAAACATAGAAAAAGTATCAAAATAGGAGCTCCATGTTTTTATCTCCAAAATATATTGGCATTTCACAATACTTTTTGTTATTATATATTGACATGTTTGGCATTATATATGAATTTTAACTTCTATTTTAGGAATAAAAATATGAAACTTTTATTTTTGGCATATTTTCTATATTTTATTCTTACTTTAGTCTTTTTTTCTTTCTAATTTCAAAAATTATTGAACCTATAATGCAAATAATGCCAACATATAATTATACCAAAAAAATACTTTAAAATGTAAATATACAATGATATATGACCTATATTGTCACAGTAAAATAGTCTTGTTTTAAGAATAAAAAATTTACTTCTATTAAGAATAATGACTATGGCAGTGTTGCGTTCAACTCAGTTTTTCTACTTATTACTTATTTTTATTAAAATCAGATCACACCAGATCATATCAGATCAGATCCAATCATATGAGATCAGATTGGATTAGATCTCATCACATCAGATCAGACCAGACCACATTAGATTAGATCAGATAAGCATAGATCAGATCAGACCAGATCTAAACAAAATTATTATTATTATTATTATTATTATTATTATTATTATTATTATTATTATTATTATTATTATTATTACCACTGTTATTATTATTATTACTATTAATATTATGAATATAATTATTATTACTATTGTTATGTTTATTATTATTATTACTATTAATAATAATATTATTATTATTGTTACTATTATTATTATTATTATATTTGTTACTATTATTATGATTACTATTACTATTATTATTATTATTACTATTACAATTACAATTACTATTATAATTATGACAATGATTATTATTACTATTGTTATTATAATTAATAATATTATTATTACTACTACTAATATTATTATTAGTATTATTGTTATTACTAGGATTACTATTCTTATTATTAGTATCATTTTTACTATTATTATTATTATTTCTATTATTATTATTGTTTTTATCATCAATATTTCTATTATTACTATTATTATTATTATTATTATTATTTCTACTACTATTATTATTACTATTATTATTATTATGATTATGTTTTTTTTATTATTATCACTATTATTAATATTTCTATTAGTTTTATTATTATTATAACTATTATTATAACTATTATAATAAAAATTTTGATTTTAATTTTAATCAAATTTATATCTGATCGTATCCAATCAAATCAGACCAGATTAGATTAGACTAAATCAGATCAGACGCAATCAGATCAGAACAAATTAGATCCAATCAGATTATATCATATCATATCAGAACTTCAAAAAATCAAATCAGATCATATCATGCGAACAGAACACAACCTATATTTTAGTCTAATTTTAAGTTATTTGAAGTGATTTCTTAATTTTGGAGTGTGGATTGGAGGAAAAACATTCCCTTTCGTCTCACAATATTTAATTTTCTTATAATAAATTCATATGACATATTTTCCACATGCATTTTAGACTATTTTTAATTTGGGTGAAACCAAAGTGCGTGTGAAATGGAACAGAAGGAGTATCTTCTCCGAATCTCACTTTTCCACCAATAACCTTTTCTTTGGTAGAGAACAACACGTTTGATCAAACATCTATCCAATTGAAAGGAACTTAACTATACATTCGTTGTTTCTACCCAATTAACAAATATATCATAGACCAATATTTATTTCTTAAAAAATAGACCAAAACTCCACATTCACCTCACATTGACGTCTTTGGAAAAAAAACAAAGCTGTTTTGTCAAGCGATTCATAATTGCTGAACACCGAGACGCCTTTCCCACCATTGCAATATAATCCGGAGTAATGGAGTAAGTTTGTGTTTAAATTAATACGGAGTATTTAACTCTGGTTCCATGATCACTCTCTTTGTATGGTTACGAAAGACACTGTCTCAATTGGAAAACCTACGATACTCCGTCCATAAAATTGATACTCCGTAGTTCTTATCTCTCATAGGCCATAACTCTTTCACACAGTCCCGATCCCTACTCGTCCTCCTACCCACATCAATTAAGGGTGTAAGTTTAGTTGACTTTGAGGTCAAACTTTTGACATCAAAGTCAATTAACCCAATTGATGTGTGTAGGGGATGAGTTGGGGTCAGGATTGGGTGAATGGGCTTATAAGGTAAGAATTATCAATTTGGTTTAATGCAGAAGAGCTTTTTTTCATTTTTATAACTTTAATTAATTTCCTCCATTCCAAAAAACATTGTCCATTTGATCTTCAAAGAATTTTTAAAAAATTACTCCTATTTAATTTGTTAAAAAGTGAAAGGTATATTATTAGGCCACCGCACCTACATTAGAATTTAGAAGTAATACTAAAGGGAGGACTACTAACTACTTTCATTGCATTTTCAATTGATTATTTGACAAAATAAAATATTTTTTGTCGTATCTCATTTAATAAAACTTTTGAGATAGTTTTGATAAATAAAATACATTCTTTTTCTATATCAATCTTAAAAGAGATGCGCTTTTGTACGCGGGTCAAATTTAGACAATTATTTTGGAACATTTCTTCCTTCCACATCATATTTTATGGGCCAATGCCCGCCCAAGAGACAAGTACTTGCTTCATTACTCCTAGACTTGGTAAAAAATGATCCGATCTATTTTTTACTCGAAATCCGATCCGAACATACAAGGTTTTGAATAAAGGTTTTGTGGACCGAACTCGATATGACCCGCTAAAAATGAGTCAAACCTGACCGAACTAAATCCGACCTGACCGACATGCTAATGTAAGAATTTTTTCAAATTATATATTTTACTATTAAATATAATGTTATAAAAACAAGGTTATAATTATATTTTTTCTTACTACTTGTTTTTAGTTTATAAATTTATATTTTCGGACAAAACTTTAAGGATATTGCATAACTATCTTACTTTTTTTCAAAAATTTTGTATTTTTTTTACTTCTTTATATTGATTTATATACCTAAAAATAACTTCAGAATTTGAAATAAAATAGCATAATAGATTTAATACATATTTTTTGATATTTTAATATTATTTAATGCTCATACATTGTTTTTCATTGAATCTGTCATTTTCGTTGAATCTGTCATTTCTTTAGGATTTGGGAGATGATTTTTATGAAAAATTACAAATTGTTTTGATTATTTTTGGTTATTAAAAACTGACCGAACCGGGTCGGTTATTTTCGGTTTTGGTTAGTACGGTTTTGGCTCTAACTCGGTTCAATTCGGTCGGTATTGCATATCAATTTTTTTTGGTTAGTTTGTTTTTTGCCCGAAACTGACCGAACTGACCTGATGCTCACTCCTTACCATCACTGGACATTATTATCGTCAATAGACATTATTCAAGTACTATTTAGAGAATAAAAAAGTTTAAGTACTAAATTGGTAAATGACATATGTTTTAGTACTATTTAATGCAAATTTCACTATTATTTTATCAAATGAGTAATGAAAATAGGAAAAGAAAGTAATAAATGAAGTTTTACTATGTGAATAGTAAACATTAACTTAATTTGGGACAAAGGGAGTAATATTTTGATAGAATTTTACTAGACATTTCTTATATGCATATATACCCTCCACCCAAAATAGATATTAGCTACTCCCACAGTTCCAAAATTATTTACACTGTTTTTATTACGATCTCACAAAAACTTTAGTTTGCTTATATGCTTTCATTAATTATTTTATAAAATAAAATGTGTTTTAAACCTTTTGTTTTGTAGAACTTCGGGAAAAGACTAAAGTAGGAGTAAAACATTGTGTTAGAACATAAATAACTTTTCTTGGGCCACAACCAAAAGCTTGAGCTTTTGGTTGATTTGGATCCTTGACATGGTATATCAGAGCCTTGTTAACTAAGAAGTCACATGTTTGAAACTCGGCGCCACCCGGTTTAAAAAATTAAAGTTTTTCGTGCAAGGCTCGAAAAAGACTACGACTGCACGTGAGGGGACATGTTAAAAGGAAGCTTCGAGAGAGTCTCTCGAGGAAATGGACTAGAAGTGGTGAACGAGTATACATCGTTGTGTTCTTTGCCTTCTCTCTTTTATTTCTGCTGCACACTCGTTTATTTTTATTTACACACTCATGCTGCGAAAAACAGTAAATATTCTCAACAACTCGATCTATTCACCCCCTCTAGAGTTGCACAAATTGTCTAACAATAAGTTCGGATCCATTGACCCGTGGAACCGACACGTTTTAAACAAGCCGGGTTAGGACCGATTCCAATTATAAATTTTCAAAGACTCAGCCCCGCCTGTACTGTATCAATAAAAACAAGCCGGATTTGGATTTGAAAAATATTGGCCCGGCCCATACCCACCCCTACTAGCTTTTAAATAACTAGTTTTAATTTTGAATTTTTTACTAATATCTAAATAAAACAAGTATAAAATAAATCCAATCAAACTTTTTAATCTATATGCTCCCTCCATCACAAGTTAGATTACACAATTCAAAGATTGTGTAAAACCTCATTATAAATTTAACTTATTTAAAAATTGGTATACAAATAAAAAATACAACTTACGTGTTTAAAAATTATATTAGAAGTTCTACAAAATAAGTAGTGACAATATTATTTTATTTTTTCAAATAATTAATAAAAACATGTAAACAATGTAATCTCTATTTTGAAAAGGAAGGAATACATACTCCGTACTACGGAAGCAGCTAGCTAGAAAATTGTTTCTCCATAACTTGAGCGGTGAGAAGCTGAGTCACCAAAATATATGTGGAAGTTCATTCATGTTTAAATTGAAAAATTATGAGCATATACTCAGGGGCGGATCTACAGCATTGCATATGGGGGCAGCTGCCCCCAGTGAATTATTTTTTTAATATATATATATGTATATTTTTAATGTTATATATAATTGCCCCCAATTAAAAAAAAAATCTGCCCCCACTGGCCCAAAACAATTAAATAGGCTAGAGACCCATCCAAAATTAGCCCAATCCAAATTCCCAAAAATTAAAAAGAATTTCCCCCCCTTCCCTTTGCTTTTGGAGAAATCGAGAAGAGGAGCGGATCAATTGAAGACCGATTCTGCTGATTGCCGAACAGCCTGAACAGTCCGCCGTGTCGCCGTCGCCCGTCCGCCGCGTCGCCGCCGAGCAGCACCGAGCAGTCGAGCACCAGCTACCAGGCACCAGGTATTTCCAAATAATTTTGTCTCCTTTTTTAAATTGTGAACTAAATAATTAGGTAAATCTGAAAATTAGATTTATGTGTAATTTGTGAAACCTTTTGAATAATTTGTTTTTATATTTCAATTTTCTATTTGATGAAATTGTTTCTAATGTTGAATTCTTGATTATTATTAATTATAATTTATAATTGTCCCAAAACATATGANAATTGAAGACCGATTCTGCTGATTGCCGAACAGCCTGAACAGTCCGCCGTGTCGCCGTCGCCCGTCCGCCGCGTCGCCGCCGAGCAGCACCGAGCAGTCGAGCACCAGCTACCAGGCACCAGGTATTTCCAAATAATTTTGTCTCCTTTTTTAAATTGTGAACTAAATAATTAGGTAAATCTGAAAATTAGATTTATGTGTAATTTGTGAAACCTTTTGAATAATTTGTTTTTATATTTCAATTTTCTATTTGATGAAATTGTTTCTAATGTTGAATTCTTTATTATTATTAATTATAATTTATAATTGTCCCAAAACATATGAATTGATGACTCTAGTCTCTAAAAATATATTAATTCTCAATTGAAATATTTAAATAATTTTCTCTAATTTTTGGACATAGATTTAGTAAAAAAGTATATTTCATTTTATGTTTTTAGATAATGGAGAAGTTTTTTAAACGGAAGTCCCCCTCAACACCGACAACACATGATTCTGGACCATTTGTACCTTCAATAGTTAAATAAATAGATTTAAGTGATCTTCCGTGGGATCCTTCAGACAGAAAAAAGATTTTAGAGTATCACCCTAATCAAAGAGATGAAATAAGAAGAAAATATTTGATTAGAGGACCGTGTCAACCGCGTGGCCATGATTTTCAGTTAAACATCGTAAACTGAAACAGGCGCTATAAATTAAATTGGGACGGATGGAGTATAATTTTACTAATTTTAAAATATTTTGTTTTTCTTAATTTAAATTTGTTAGATATAAAATTAATTTTTTCATCATGATATAAAGTACATTTTTTAAAAAAAATCGGGGGCTCTGCCCCCGAACCCCCGCTTTGCTATACTGCCCCCAGTCATTCACAATCCTGGATCCGCCACTGCATGTACTACATTGTAATCGAATCAATAGTAATATATAAAAAGATATTATGCGATTCATATTTAAGTTTGGGTTTGAAAGATAAAAAAACTTTTATACTCTCTCTTTTGTAATAATTGTCTCGCTTTTTTTTGTGTTCGCCTGTAAAACAAATGCGAAAATTATTTTAAGAAAGAAAATATGTGGTTCAGAAAATTATTTCAGTTGCAATTTACGAAGTTTGACTAAAATTACTTTCAATTCAATTTATTTAATTATTAATGTTAAATATAAAATTTGAATTTATATATTTAAAAAATATTTTAATAGTTTTACAAGAAAATTAGTATGAATATATATATATATATATATATATATATATATATATATAATGAGTAACGAAAATAAGTAAAGAAAATAAATAAAATTTGACCTTATAAACTAATAATGCGGAAAATTTGATTGGAATATACAATGCATAAATGTTTTTAAGTAACACAGTATAATGAAATATATGGTGTGTACTTTAAAAAAATTAAATATACCTTTAGTTTTTAAAGCTATAAATTTTCTTTCTTTTAAAGAATAAAATAATTATGTATATTTAAAAAATGTAAATTAAATATGCATCGATGCCATGATATTGAAATTTGTTAAGGTTTTATGAAATTAATAAAAATAATGATTATTTGAAGTTAATTTGAGAGTAAATTCTATAATTTCTCCTTTATAGCAAAGAAGTTTTCATATTTAGTTTTCTATTATCAAATATTACTCTCGTAGCCCTTCTTTTATGGTTGTATTTCTACAAATAGTCCTTTCTTTAATATTCTTGCATGGTGGTGTTAATTAAATTAAAGGTAAAAAGTATAATTTGACATTAACTTTATGTTCAGTGACGCATTCTGATAGTGTTTAGATGGATAACACAAAAATAATGACTATGATTGTGAGCTAGCTAGGATTTCGACGAAAGAATACATTTGTAAACTATGGTTGTAGTATAAAGCGACTGTAATTCATAAATGGTGCATCTAGAGTGACCTATGGAATTATTGTGTTTGGCAAGAAAGATACATTATCATTGTGAAGTTATAGTTTTAGCCCTCAAATTAACACCAACATAATAAAAAATCAGAAAAAGGACTATTTGTAGATAGATACACATAAAAGAAGGATTACCAGGCTATATATTTGATAATAGAGGAATAAATAGGGAAACACACGGTATGACACATAACATAACAATAGTATGATATGCATATATGACATGATATGTGTCATCGTTACAATTATACTCTCGGCATGCAAGAATATATCAACACCATATTTTTTTATAAATATTTACTCTTAGAGCATGTTCTTTAGAGATTAAACTCTTAACTACCAGTATCTTTCAGTTCCTTCCGGTTTCTTCCAATTTTTCCAGTTCCTTCTAGTTTCTTCCAACTACTCTCATTTTCATCAAACTCTTTCTACTCTCTAGCAATTACTCTAAAAATGATATATTATTTCTATATTATTATTATTACAACAATTATATTCATAACTATAGTTGATAAATTATTTCATTTTTTTCATATCACTATTTTTATGATTCACATTCATTTTTATTTTTTCTTCAGCTTTGTAATATGAATAGACAATTTTTTTGTATATTAATCTACATGATAAAATAGGGAAACATCAATACTTAAAACTATATTAAAAAATTATGGATGAAATAGTTACATAGAATTTTTTATTAATCTAAATTTATAAAAGACACATCACTCTTTCCTTTATTACTCAATTTTTTCTCATTTTTATTTATTTCAAAATTTAATTTTGGTTTTCATTTTTCTAACTTTTATAAAAAAAATTGAAAATCAAAATATTTTAGGGAAAAAGACTAAAGTAGGAGTAAAACATAAAATAAATGGACAAAAATAAAAATTCTATGTCTTTATTCCAAAAAAAAGGAGTTACAATGAAAATAAAATGTAAATAATGAAAGAAAAATAGTTTTGATTACATTATATGTGATATTTAAAACAAAATCTTGTAATATAAAATATATTACAAATATATTATTTTATAATAAATGCTGCATAAATTAATTTAGGTGCAACGTAATCACAATAATTTTTAAAAATTTAAAATGTTGATATTTATTATGCTAACTTAATATTCTAGTTTTTTTTTTTGCAAAAATAGTTTTTTTTGTGTATGAAAAATAACAACAATTTTTATCTTAAAAGCATTCATTAAGATAACGTGATAATAATAATATAATAGTAATAATAATTTATAGCAACAAGAATTAGAGTGAGAATAATACAAAAATACACTAAAATAACTTTTTTAGATTTTCCAATTTTTTTAGTCTGTCCAGTTTTGCTAGTTTCTCCCGACCAGTTCTTCTAGCTAGTTTCTTCAAGTTCTTTCCAGTTTCTTCCAACATTCAGCACTTTTTTTCCTGTCATAAAGAACAAGCTCTTAATTTATTTCGATTAATAAAAAATAATAAAAGAGATGACAATGATACAAAAAAAAGATGAGCCTCATTTTCGAGCATCCTCTGAAAATTTTGATCGTAGGTTGATGATAGACACCGATGAGAAAAGAATGATGTCACTTTCTCACCTGTATGTGATGTGTATAAAAAAGAATTGTGTCAAATGTAATACAAATTGCAATTTTATTATCAAATACGGAGTAAATGACATCAAGTCATCAACTACAATATAATTGATGCCATCATCATCATCGATCACCTCTAGCTTCCATTGCCGCTCCCAAATACGTACGTATCATCAACACCATGGACAGCCTTCTCTATCTTTCTCTTCCGATAATCATCGTTCTTCTTCACCTCTTCCACCATTTCATTCTTCACCGGCTGCGAAATCTGCCGCCGACCCCTTTCCCGGCGCTTCCCATCGTCGGCCACCTCCACCTACTGCGAAAGCCGCCGCTTCATAAGGCGTTGTACGACGTCGGGAAGAGGTACGGACAAGTCCTCTTCCTCCGGTTCGGGTCGCGGCCGGTGGTCCTCGTGTCATCGGCGGCGGCGGCGGAGGAGTGCTTCACCAAGAACGACGTCGTCTTCGCCAACCGGCCCAAACTCCTCACCGGGAAACATTTGGGGTATAACTTTACCAGCCTCCCCTTTTCGCCGTACGGGGAGCGGTGGAGGAATCTCCGGCGAATCTCCACCGTGGAAGTGCTTTCCTCGTACAGAATCCAGCAGTTGGCCGGAATCCGTGCTGAGGAGGTCAAGGAGTTGGTCCGCAATCTCTTTCACCTCTCCACTTGTGATGGCATGGTGAGATAATTGTGATAATGAGTCAATTTCCTATTTCCTTTTTAAGGAAGTCCTTTCATATTAATGTGTCACATATTCCAACTTTTTGAATTTAAAAAATGTTACCCCTCTCTCCCAATTTAAATCGTCTATTTCGACTTACGATTTAGAAAAAAATTATTTTCAAATTATTTTATATAAAAAATGATGTAAAATTTAAAAAAAAAATTACCTACTTAAAAATTACACCAAAAAATCTACAAAACTAGTAGTGACATGAATATATGATTGTATCACATAACTAACAAAAATAGAATAAGAAAGTAAATGAAGTTTGATCTTGTGAATAGTAAATATGTAATTTAATTTGAGACAGACGGAATATTTGCTTACAAACAAGGTACACGTATATTGTTTGTATGACCAAATAACACCAGTATCCTCGTGGTTTAAAAAATAGACACCAATATCCCCCATATTTTCAAAATTTATTTTTAAAGTTGTCATGATTTCAAAATGTTGCACCCGTAACCGCTTTGATCATTTTCTGGCCATTTTTCGAAGAAAGAAGCATTGGTGCTTGTTTTCCAAACCATAAGGGGCACTAGTGCTCATTTCTTATTTTTCGTTTATTTTTTATTTTTCCCTTTTTTTGTTTCCTTTATCTCAAAGATTTTAAATTTCTTTTTAAATTTTTTTATAATTTTCTAGATATTTAAATTATTTTTCTAAAAATAACATATACTGAATATGTACGTCTCTAATTAACAATTTTTATTTTTTGTTTTCTAAAATAAAGAATTAAAAACTTGTTTTGAGAGCTCCAAAAAATGAGGAATAAAATAAGAAATAAAATAGAACAAAAAATAAAAACCAATATCCTTGTTGGACATACCAATTCTAAGGATTTTTTAGGCGCTTTGAAAATTCCTATTTGTATAAGACACTTTTTTAGATGTTTCAAGTTTTTTCATTTTGTCTTTACATATTTTTATTTATTATTTTCCTTTTGAACTTATCAAAAATATTACTCTCTCCGTCCTAAAATTATCTTCCTAGTTACTATTCACACGGTCAAACTTAAATCTCTTTCTTTACCTATTTTCGCTACTTATTTGATAAAATAATTTAGTCTTGTCACCTCTCGTTTTGTAGAACTTTTAATGTAGTTTTTAAACATGTAAATTTTATTTTTTAATTTTACACCTACAATCAAATAAATTGAATTTAAAATAAAGTTGGTAAAACCTCATAAACACAAACAAGAAGATGGTTTTAGGACGGAGGGAGTATTTATAAAACAAAAGTTAAAATATCTAATTTGAGATACATGGAGTATATGTTAATTTTTTTATTTTTATTTCAAACACAAAGAGTTTGAGATACATGGAGTATATGTTAATTTTTTTATTTTTATTTCAAACACAAAGAGTTTTGAATTTTTTAAAACATTATAAAAAATTTAAAAGGAATTTAAAAAACTTTTCTAGAAAACGGAAACAAAGAGATATAAAAAAGTTTTAAAAAAGGAATTAACAAAAAAAAGAAATGAGTGCATGTGAACCTATGGTTTAAAAAATAGACACCAATGCGCCTCTTTGCCGGAAAATGACCGAAAAATGATCGGAGGTTGTGGGTTGTTAGAGTACATCCCACATCGGAAATCCAAGAGTAAAATAATCGGTATATAAGCTCTAGAGTTGAACTAGCTAATCGATTGGATTCAATCTTTTAATGTGATTCAACCTAATTGTCTTATTACCCAATCTAATTGTCCATACCCATCCCAAATTCTATCATGGTATCAGAGAAGGTTTTAGCCCACCTCGTTTGTCAAGGTGTCCGTCTAGACGTTCATTCCTAGCGGCCCGTTAGTCTTTAGCCCAGTTGCTCGTATGGAGGTTGTACCCAACGGCCTGTGGCCTGTTTAACACGATTGCTCGTCTGGAAGTCCATACCCAGCGGCTCGTGGTCCTTTAGGTGTTGGCGCTCAAAAAAACAAAAAAAAAGGTCAAGGGAATGGGAGTTCATTTGCAAGTGGTCAACCGGTTAGATTCAAAATGGCCCGGTTGTCCACTTGAGGGGGAGTGTTAGAGTACATCCCACATCGGAAATCCAAGAGTAAAATAATCGGTATATAAGCTCTAGAGTTGAACTAGCTAATCGATTAGATTCAATCTTTTAATGTGGTTCAACCCAATTGTCTTATTACCCAATCCAGTTGTCCATAATCATCCCAAATTCTATCATGGGTGCAAGGTTTTGAAACCACGACGACTTTAGGAATAAATTTCAAAAACAAATGGAGTATTAGTGCCAATTTTCCAAACCACAAGGGACACTGGAGCTATGTGGCCTTACTTGCATACCATATTTTGTACGAAATAGAGATTTTATGTCAATGTGTGCCAATACAAAATATGATGTACAAGAGGTACGTATACACCATGTTGATGTAACGCTAGCACGTTTGTTTTCAATTTGATTATCTCCATTTTAGATATAAATTGAAAAAAAAAACCACCTGTCGTATATCTCTTCTTTATGTTGAATTTTTATAGAATGCAACACGTACTTTATCGTTAATATTTGTAATTATATACAGAGGATAAATATATATTTCCTCTATCCCAAACAAAAAAACTTAGTTACTATATCGGATTTTCGATAACATTTTTTTGTGCATGCTTTTTAATAGTCTATTTGATAAAACTAATTATTTTTTGGTCGCTAAATTTGTATGTAGAACTTTTGATATAATTTTCAATGTCATTTTGACTTTTTATTTCTTACTAATTTGCTAATAAAATCCATTTTAAAAAAGTCTATTTTGCACAATGTTCGGAAGAGCAGAATGTTTTAGGGACTCATGAGTAGTGTATAATTAAGAAATATTTGCACTAAATCAACCTCGGAAATTTCTATATCTTCTTTTTTTCATCCAAATTTGCTAAGTCCACCCTTTATGAGAGAAATATCAAATTTATAAATTAAATGTGGTGGTGGATTTAGCAAATTTTAATGAAAAGAGCAAATTTAGCAATTTTGAAGTGGATACATATAGTCTCACCCAACATATATTATAAAAAGATGATATTTTAAAGTTTAAAAATATTGACAACTAATCAAAACTCACAACCTGAAGAAATAGATGAGAGGGAAAGAGTAACTTTGTTTCAAACATACTTCTTCTCTCTATCTTTTAAAAAGCTATGGTTGACCTTAGAGAATTTTAAAAAAGTACGGTATTAAAAAACAAGGGTTTTTGTTGGAAATGAAAAATGCATAGTTAAAGTTTATTTGGAAAAAAGAATTAAAGATATCCACATATTTATTTTCTAAAAGAAAAGGCTAATGGGAGATGTGTAAGATTAATTTTTAAATGTCTGAAAAAAAAAGTTTAAGGGTCTTCAAACTATGGAGTATTGCTTTTTACTCCGATCCGTAACTACTTTCATTCTAGTGTATTCGTCCAGTTTATATTTTTTGAGTCAAATTAAATGAACCTTGAACTTTAATTAATTAAAAACTTTAATATATACTCCGTAATAGTATAAAACAATTTCATTAGATTTAAGTTATTCAGAACTTTTAAAATTTTGTATATTCTATTAATAGGCAATACAAATTGAAAATAATTGATCATTAATAAAGTTTGTCTAATTTGTCTATATATATATATATATATATATATATATATATATATATTAATAAGTTGTATTTATTAATTCTACATCAATTTTTATATGGAATATGAATTAATTTTGAAGTAGTACTAAAAAACAGTAAAAATAGATCAATCATGGAGGTTGAAATATAATGCAGGTAGAACTGAAGCCGCCTTTGCATGATTTCACCTTCAACGTGATGTCCAGAATGATCTTCGGGAAAAAGTATTACGGGGGCGGCGCCGCCGCGAACTCCGAGGCGGCGAAGCTGTTCCAAGAAATATCAAGAAACCAAATAAGAGTGATTCCCAAAGCCAACGTTTTGGACTTCCTGCCGTTCATGAGGTGGTTCGGGTTCGGAGATATCGAGGATGAGCTGGCGGGGATCTTCGAGAAGAGAGACGAGTTCATGCAGAGGGTAATAGACGACCACCGCTCCGGTCTGTCTCACGGCCGCCGCCGGCGTGAATCAACGGCGGCGGGGAGTAAGACCGTTTTGGATGTTCTGTTGGAGTTGCAGAGCTCGGAACCGGAAAGGTATACCGATGAGACCATCAGAAATCTTTTGCTGGTAAGATCTATCCACTAATTACCTAACTACTCCCTCCGTCCCTAAGTATTTATCCACAGTTAATTTTTTCAGTTAAAATTTTTAAATTTTGACCTCAGATTAAATAAAAATGATATTTGATATTGATACAAAAATAGTTTTATTAGATTAATTATATCAAATATTTTCAAAATATTATTTTATCTAATTAATATGCAATATACATTTTATTTAACTATAGGTCAAAGGTTAAAAACAGTTGAACGAAAAAAGTCAAAACTGGATAAATTTGAGAGACGGAGGTAGTAATATAATGGGCACGATTCCGTTAACATTGGTCAATGTTGCCAGTAGCGGTACCACCCTAACCGATCACCTAAACCCTTCACCCCAATCCCGCCTAAGCCCCCTTTAAATGTGTGACTGAAGTGTGGGGTTTTGGGGTGGTTAGAGAGAGTAGAAACTATCAATTTTGTAAACGGAGTATCTGAGGTGCTCCAAAAATATTGTGATACTGCTAGCGGCACCGTTGGCCAATGTGAACGGAACCGTGCCTATAATATAATTAATTGTTTCATCAAGCTCCAATAATAATAGAGTACTCTCTTGTAGGAGATTGTGTTTTTTTAAGGATGTTTATTAGTGGATGATAATGGTCCTGCTTATGGTGGTGATTGGAAACAGATAATCACATCAAAATGGGTCCATTACTCTTTTAAAATAATGATGATAATTAATATCCTAGATCACTTTTATAATAAAAGTGGTCTATAGTTAATTTTAAATTTAATTGAATTTCAGAAAACATTGAAATATTAAGTATGTTTAGTAATTAGTACCAGCGGCAAAACCAGTAAAAATATTGAGCGGGACCCTACCGGCAAAAAAATAAAATATGGAGGATGATTTACCAAGTACTTCTTCCATCCCTAAAAATGTTCTCATTTTGTTTTCTAAAAACAAATTTAGGGAGAGATATTTTCTTGTTGATATTCTAAAAATATTTTTAATGTAATGGGTAAAGTAAGCTGTGATGTCTAGATTATTAATAAAAAAATATAATGTGATAGGTAGGTTAAAAGTTAGTAGAAGTAGATGAAGTGATTTTTCAATAGAAATGAGAAAGATTTTGTGGGACAAGTAAAAAAAGAAGGAACTTTTTGAGACGGAGGAAGCTGAACATTATAATATAATTTGATTGTCTTACTTTAAATATTTTACTTTTAGTTTCTATTTATGGAGTACTCCGTAAATTTTTACACTATAAAGCTAGGTTCTTTTGGTATCTAACTTTTAACATTTTCTAATTTTTTCTAGTTTCATTTAACTTTTAAATTTTTAATTATTTTCAGTTTTTCTAACTCCTAGTTTTTATGATTGTTTCCAATTTTTTTAACTCCTCATTTTTTCCAATAATAACTGAAAAAGTTATTTGTTGTTGTTATCATTGTTATTATTATTACTATTATTATTATTATTATGATTACTGTTGTTGTTTTTCTTGGTAGAATGGAAAAGGTTGGTATAATGTCACAATTTATTTAAAAAAAATCATTTGTCCTCAAAATAAAATTTAGTTAACTAATAAACGTAGTGTGTTTACATATACCTAAAGGTATTAATGGTCAAAATGTTATATCGTAAACTATGAAAAGTCAATTAAGAAAAGTTATATGAGAGAAATGAAATATTTATTTTGAACGAACAATAAAAGAAAAAAGTGAAGATTTTTATAGCTTTTTTAATGAAAAAAAAGAATGGATATGTTTTTAGGACGAAAAGAGTACAAGCTTAAGGATCAATTACAATGTTTTTAGTTGTCCACCGTATTTTCTTTTTGTAAGAATCATGTAAACCGTGAATGTGCATAAACTATTTTTGTAACTCGTAATGGTTGTCTTTCACCTTTATTTGAGGGATTTCATTCTACATTATTTTTTGAATAAGTTGAGAAAAAATATAAATAATGTGAACTCTGTAATTTATAATACAACTTTAACATCGTCAGTGGAACATTTTTGTTATTATTTGGATACATACAATGCGATGTATAATAATTTTTATTTGGTCAATATATACATTGTTACATTATTTATTTTCATTTGTTTCTTTCAATTAAGATTTATAATAAGTATTACTTCATTTGTCTCCTTATTTTTGTTACATGGACTCGTAACATGTAAATTACGAAACAAAAAATTATTTAAATATAATATGTAATTCATTAAGCATAATAATTATTTCAACACATTTCATTTTTTCAAACTCTTTTAACTTTTTTAAACTTCTTCCAATTTCTTCCAACTTCTTCTAATTTTTTCTAATTTTCTAGTTTTTACCAATTCCTTGCAGTTTTTTCAACTCATTGTAGTTTCTTAGTTTTTTAAATTTCTTCTAGTTTTTTTTAACATCAACTATGTTTTTACAATCCAAACGAACAGAATCAAAGTCCTATTTTGGGTATTCCTTCTAAAAAGAAATAGAGAATGAAAATGAGAAATAAAAATATTGGATTGTGATGAGTTTTTTTGAGGACGTACGTAGACACTAAATTTTGTTTAGTTTTAATTTTTTGCAGTCAATATTGATTAATTTTAACCATTAATTAAATAACTTACATATTAGATATACTAGTAGAAGAATAATTTATTATATTTATTTTATAAAACTATTTTTAAAATATTATTTTATGTAATTAGTATATTAAATGCGTGTAACTTTTATTTACTTATAAATCAAAAATCAATCATTATTGACTACAAAAAATTAAAACTGAATAAATACACTAGAACGGAATGAATAATTGTTAAAACTAAATATGTCGATTTTCTTTATAAATGGAATGAATTTAACACTATAAGGAGTGAATTTAGTAGCACCATCCTAACAAAACTTTCTAAAGGTATGGAGAGTTTTAATGGAGCAAAGTCATACTCCGTACTAGGGTTGGACAGGCAATAGCCGCTCTTAGTAGCCGTCAACTGGCTTCCGTTCCAGAATTGATTAATATTTGAGCTCGTCTTCCTTCAATTTATATTATCAATAAAAAATACTACCTCCGTCCCACAAAAATTCACACGTTTTGACTAAAGTTGAAATTAAGGGAGTGATAATTTTGTGTTGACTTTCCAAAAATACCCTTGATGTGATGGGTAAAAGTAGGATGTGATGTGTAGATTATTAGAAAAAAGGTATAATGTGATAGGTATGGTTTAAAAAAGTAAGGGGTAAAAGTGGTTTTTTAATAGAAATGGGTAGGAGATTGTGGGACGCAATTTTTTTGAAAGGTGTAAATCTTTTTGGGACGAAGGGAGTACAAAATGATCCAATTAAAAATAGTGAATTTGTTCCCTAATCATCAGAGAGAACAACGCGAGTTTATTCAGCCCTTTTTGGAGTAAATTCAATTCGTCTCTCTCCTTGTGGCTAGGGTTTAGTGACGCATTATATTTGGCTCAAAAATTTGAAATAGAAAAGAAAAGAAAATGAAGTGAAAAAAAGTTTTTATTGTTTAGTTACTGAGAAAAAGTTTATAAGGAATTGATGAAATAATTTTTTTGTTGGATGATGATGGTACTCTCTCTGGGGATGTTAACGGAGGTAGTGAAGGTTTATAATTAGTTTTGAAGTCTCTAATGTTACTCTTTTGTCGTTGTCTCGATACCAAATCGCACGACCACGTTCACTTTTGTCCTCACTTTAGCATACAGGTCTTTGACCGCATGTATATAAGCAACTCGTACTCTAGAAACCTCTACATGATCTCACTCAGAACCCTGTAGCTAGTATATATTCCTTCTCTAGGAACGCTAATGCCATCGGTGGCGCAAATGGCGAGTACCATAAAATGTGCCGGGCATTTGTGATTTGACTTCTTTTCACCATATAATTGATTGTGGCAATCGATTAATCGTCTCTCACGCATTCATGCTTTCCAAAGTTTTGCACTTCTTTGTCTTCTTCGCATATCCAATGTGACTTCTCTTTTCTTCTCCACTAATCATGATTGCGATTAGGATCAGAAGTGAGACCTCCAATCTCTGACTTCGCGGATCAGTTACAAGATCCTAGCCTTCTCCGTGTCTAACCTCCCGGATGGCTTCAACATCTGACCTAGCAACTCAGGTACAAGAAGACGTGCCTTTATTATCAGGTTCAAACATAGATGATGATGTCTAGGAGTGCCTTTATTATTAGATTTTCATCTCTTAGTTTTCTAGATTGAACCTTTTATACTCTTAATTTTGAATTAATTTTTCAGTTTTGCATAAGTTGTCTTGTTCTAAGGAAGATTTCCCTAGGTGGCACTCTAAAGTAGCCAAAATTATCTATCTAGCACTGCTATGGTGTTTTTGACATCTAAAAAGTATCCAACGTGACATTATCTTTAATTTGCATATTCTACCCTTCTTCTTAATTCCTAGGATTACACTAATTTTAGTTACAACATTGCCTTACCTCTCCGCCAAACTACCTCCCCTACCGTCGCCACTGCCTCCCTCTCCCGCCACACTGCCTCCCTGCCACCACCACCACACTACCACCCTTTGCTGCCACACTGCACAACGGCCACACTGTCCCCACACTGCCACACTACCTCCTCTGGCTGCCACACTACCTCCTCTGGCTGCCACACTATCATCATTACCACCACCACTGCCACCACCATCGCCACCCCCGCTACACTACCATCCATGTCACTGTCAAACTACCTTCAACAACATCAACGTCACTGTCCCAATGCAATCCTTTGCCACTAAACTATCTCTCCCATCACCACGTTCCTTCCCACCGCCATCACTACCATCATCACCACCGCCACCACCACAATGCCACCCCTGCCACACTTCTAACTCTACCGCCGCACGGTCCTCCTTCTGCCAAAGTGTCATTGCCACTACCACACTGGCATCACCACTACCCCCACTTAAGACACACGTATAGCCACCATTTCAAGAGGAAGCATTTCTAAAAAAAAAATCTTTTCTTCTTAGAGGCTAATGTGCACTCAAGGGCAATCCTCTAGACCCTTGTAGGGAGTCAATGTAACTCCAAAGTCCTTGATAATGTTTGAGGTAAGCCTCATCTCCCAAAATCTTACTAGTGCGAGGCTTGATACTTAGAGTGTTTAGGACTTCTTTTATTAGTACTACCCACTACTAAGATCTAAATTTCTAACAAAACTTACTTACAAATTTGTGGATAATACGCAAGACTCTTGGGTTTAAAATCCTTGGGGCTCCCTCCCCTTCACTATTTTTTGCTAAGGTAAGAGATCCATCTTTATGCCTTAGGCTAAAAGAGTGATTTGTCAAGTATGGAAAAATCATTGTCGTTAGCAAAAACGTTGTTGTTGTCCACTACTAAGATCATTCCTTTTTCTTGTGCAAATATCATTATATTTAGAAGAACTTTCTATATTTACAAGGTCCCAGGAATAACTTTTCCTTAACTTGGATTTGATGCCTCAAAACTAGGTCAAATGCCTTTCTTGGTGGTGAAATGCCTAAATAAAAAAAATAGAAAAATAGTTCTAAGCGAGGTTCCCCTTTACCCAAGTTCAATGCCTTTTACTTATGGAAATGTATAAGGTGTTTCACATTCAATTTTCTATTGATTTCTTTTCCCTTAAGAGTGACATGTTTATTAGTCCCTGGACGCACTATGAGTTTGAAAATATAGGCCTCTCATAGGATTTTATAAATGTAATACCCCGTATTAAGATGGGAATGGGAAGAGCTCAAAAGGATTGATAGTACTACTCATACCAACAAGGTGCATCTTCTTTTCGAGAGGTCATCGCCTAGAAACTCCAAAGTTAAGCGTGCTTGACCTGGAGCAAATCTAGGATGGGTGACCCCTTGGGAAGTATCCTTGGGCGCGCACGAGTGAGGACAAAGTGTGCGGGAAAGACTTGTGTTGGTTTGTGGGGCCAATATACAATCCTATGAGCGGACACTTACGGCCAGGGTGAGGTCAGGGTGTTACAATAAACTTGACCTACTCCATGAGCTTGCTCGTATATCTTTTATACAAGATGTAATCTCTAATCTGAAAGCTCTAACCTTTGGTCCAAGGATCAAAGTATTTCTTCACCTTCCTGCAATACTTCTCTACCTTACAATGGGCTTTATCCATTATTCCTTTAAGGAATTTTAGATGGAGGTCTTATTTTGGTTTATTCTCTATCAGATCTTACGTTCTTACATTTTGCTCGAAATGATCACCTTAATTAGAGCCCTTTCACCATAACCACATGTGAGTGTTAGAGTGTCATCCCACATCGGAAGTTCAAGAGCAAGATAATCGATATATAAGCTCTTGAGTTGAACTAACTAATTGATTGGATTCAATCTATTAATGTGGTTCAACCCAAGTGCCTTATTGCCCAATTTAGTTGTCCATACCCATCCTAAATTCTGTTATGGTTTCAAAGCAGGTTTTGGCCCACCTCGTTTGTCAAGGTGTCCGTATAGACGTTCATTCCTAGCGG